AGTTTATTTAAAAAGTCTTTAGTTTATCCAAAATTCTGCTGCCAGAATTTTAATGGGAGTTGGTAGGAGAGATTATATTTCTCCAGTTTTAGCTTTTCTCCATTGGCTCCCTGTCAGATTCAGGATAGAATTCAAAAGCTTACTTCTAACTTCCAAAGCTCTCAACAACCTAGGTCCATCTTATAGCACAGCTTTTATTGTTCCATATTTTTCTAACAGAGCACTTTGCTCTCAGACTGCAGGTTTACTTGTGGTTCCTAGAAATTCCAAAAGCAGAATGGGAGGCAGAGCTTTCAGTTATCAGGCTCCTCTCTTGTGGAACCAACTTCCAGTTTCTGTCTGTGAGGCTGACACCTTGTCTATGTTTAAGATTAAGCTTAAGTCTTTCCTTTTTGATAAATCTTATCATTAAGGTCAGCTTGGATTTCCTTCACTATCACTTAGTTATGCTGCTGTAGGCTTAGACTGCTGGAGGGCGAACTGACAGCATTTCCTCACTCTGCAGCTGTCTTTACTTACTTTACCTGTTTGCATTTGTAATTATTTCTATCGTTAACATGTTTTTTTGTTTTTCTTCCATTAGGAAGTACCCCTGGACTTGCCATTCTGTGTTTTTGTTTCTCCTTCCTGTCCTATCAAACCCCAGCCGGTCGAAGCAGTTGGCCACTCGTCCTGAGCCTGGTTCTGCTGGAGGTTTCTTCCTGTTAAAAGGGAGTTTTTTTTCCTTTCCACTGTCGCCTTTGTGCTTGCTCAGGATGGGAGACTGCGACGAAGTGAAGATTCAACGCAATCTGCTGGCTTCCTTAGATAGCTTTTACTAATTGGCTTTTATAATGCATTTGAATGTTTTTGTACCGTGCCCTAAAATGACTGCTGTTGTGATTTGGTGCTAAATAATAAAACTGAACTGAATTTAAATACACATAGACACACTATATGTAGATAGATACATGCAGATTTTATTGGGTTTTATTTTTGATGAGCTTGCTTAAATTAACAGATACATTATACGATAAATTGTAGCACAGAAACCTTGATTTCATACACACAGTGTGTAAACGTGACACAATTATTGTCATTCCATCAAATGAAGATTTTCTTACTGTATATCGTTTTCTCTCTCCAAGTCTGATTGCTTTGCCAAAACCACCTCATCCAGATGTTCCAGGAGGATTCCTAGGCGTGCTGAGAATTAGTTTGGATCGTGTTCAAACTATCAAACTATTTCAGATTAAAGGAGTCCATTGTGTGAAGGATGAAATGACTCAGTCAACAAAAAAAGAAACCGTCCAGATGACCTGACTGAGCATTTGTTGGCTTTTAAAGTAGTCTTAATATTTAGAATATTTTTTTCAGACAAAGTGAACAAGCCTAAAAGACAAAAGTAAAAAAAGTGTACCTTACAGTTCTCTACAACAGTTGTTAAAACTGTTTTGAGATCTAATTGTGATCTGATAACCCTAAACACAGGTCTGAATTGTTGGAGGTCTCAGTGGGAGGTGAAAATGTTTCCACCCAGGCCTCCTTTAGAGCTGGTCTGGACTTTTTCGATCTGAGGAGTCACCGACAAATAAAACTGATTCCCACAAACAGCTTACTCCATAGTGGGAAAAAAACAGTTTGCTGGTGCTAAGATGGCCTCCGAGGCCCACCCTCTCCCCCATCAGCTCCTCTGTGACAGTCATGCCAAAGTGGTTTTAAACACCAAAAATGTCATTTTAAATACAACTTGGGTTTACTGCCATGCCCCATTTCATGCTTCTTGAAATTAAGTTACATTTCTAAGTAATTAAATATTTTTTTAATAGTACTATTTATAATAGTTCTCATCCAAATAGTTTTATGCCTAAATTATTAAAAATAAATTGAGTCCCTGAGTTAACTGTCCACACTGTTACTCTAAAATACCTGTCACCACCAGTTTGGCTTAATGTAATTCTGTTTTTTTTTTGTTTTTTTTCAAATGTTGTGTTTTTGTTGTGTGTTTTTCAAATGTAATTTAATTTTTTTGAAATGTAATTCAGTTTTTTTCAAATGTTGTTCATTTACACCTCAGGTCCACCATACTTTGCAGACTTGGTAAAACAATGTTACTAGACAAATGGTACAAACTGCCCATTAGTGTAATGGTGGAACTGAACAGTGAGAGCCACTAATCACAATACAACCTGGACTGTAACAATGTTTGTCGGACGTTTTGTCAGTTTTACTGGAGCTCTCTGTCTCCACAGCCAGCTTCATAAGAATAACATGTTTTGTAAAACTGTAGTGGGGATTGTACAACAAAAAAACTGTCATAAGAGGTAATAATCTCCCTGCAGACCACTGTGTCCTGTAGAGTTTGTTCTCTTCATACAGCAGCTCTTCAGCTAAACTGCTCAACGGACCACAGTTACTGAAAGCCAGCAGCTCAGGGGCTGGACATCCAGCAATTAAAGTCCATCCATCCATCTTTACTCACTTCTTCCTTTTTGGGTCACGGGGGTCACCGGTGCCCATGTCCAGCAATCACTGTGCGAGAGGCGGGGGACACCCTGGACAGGTCGCAAGTCCATCACAGGACAACATAGAGACAAACAACCATTCATTCACACCTAGGGACAATTTAGAGTTACCAATAAGCCTAACGTGCATGTTTTTGGTCTGTGGGAGGAAACTGGAGTACCTGGATAAAACCCATGCATGCACAGAGAGAACATGCAAACTACACCCAGAAAGGCCCCCCGGACTGGGATTTGAACCAGTGTGTGTGTGTGTGTGTGTGTATATATATATATATATATATATATATATATATATAATATTATATATATGTATATAAAAAATTTCTTCTTCTTTCGACTGCTCCCTTTTTTAGGGGTCGCCACAGCGAACTAAGTCGCACGAAGACTTGGCAGTTATTTTTACGCCGGATGCCCTTCCTGACGCAACCCCAGACCACCGAGCAACCACTGCTATCTAGAAGCTGCTATCTAGGACACCCGGAGGAGCAGATGGTGGGGGGTTAAGGGCCTTGCTCAAGGGCCCAGAATGGGACGAATGAGGGTGGGGGCAGGTGTGAGTGCTTCAACTACCCCACCCACATTTTTGATGTTGTCGGTACCGGGGCTTGAACAGACGATCTTCCGATCACAGGTCCACCTTCTCTAACCTCTGCACCACCACTCCCCGCCTATATATAAAACATATTATATATATATATATATAACATATTATATATAATATTTATATAATATATTTATATAACATGTTATAATTATATACATATATAATATTATATATTATATATATTATATATAACTGTGACTTTCCTTCTCTACAGTTAACTATGGTGACATTATTTACATGTACACCCCTACAAGCACCCTGCAGATGTTGGATGCTGTCTATCACGGTGCACTAAGATTCATAACTGGCTGTAATTATCAATTCGTACCCACCACTGCACCCAGTATTCACTGGTTAACTGGACATCATTAACTTCACACAGACTCTCTCACTGGTACATTTTCATCTTTAAATCACTTCTTGGTCTGCTGCCTTCAAATATCTCCTCCTACATGTCACTTCGTCAGTGCAGCTACAGCGTGCGCTCTCGAGGCATAATTACCTGCGGTGTTCCCTCAGTGTGGACTGAACTTGGCAAAAGGACCTTCTCTTACTCTGCTCCCGTTTCCTGGAATATCTTGCAAAAAGATCTGAAGCTCTCGACCTTCACCTCTCTAAGGGATTTTAAACAACTGTTAAGTTCATGACAAAAACAAACGCAGTCAAGTTCCTCTTTTAGTTTTTCACATAGCTCTAATGTAGCTGTTTTTGTCTCGTTTTTATATAATGTATTCTATTTACTTTTCATTTTATATGCATTTTTATATGATTGTATATTGGTGTCTGTACTGCATTTGTATTCTTTCTTTAAATCAGGTCTCTCTTGTAAATAAGTCCTCGAGGCTCAGTGAGACTAACCTGTATAAATAAAGGTTGAACGACTGAATGAATGAATCAGAACTCCCCGCACAGCAGGAGAAAGAGCATGCAGCCTTTGGACTTGTGTTTCTGCTAATTTAATTCTAGTAACTGAACATTTACACCAAAACACAGATATTTATAGGTCCCAGATTAAAGCAAATCTGTTTAGCTTTATTTTCCCCAAAACTCAAAAGTTCTCTATGAAAGTCCCAGAGAGACTGTGTGAGCTGCAAAGCATGCTGGGTTGCCTTGTGGAAATCGTATATGCAATGTTTCTGAGTTTGGAAATTGGTTCTTCTTATTAATGCCCTGTTCAGGTTCACTTGGGTTTTAATGTTGAAGTCTCTGTTAGTTGTAAACTGACGCCAGGAGTCAGAGGTTGTTCCCGGTACGTATAAGGGGGAACGCACCAAGTGATTAAACAGTGAGTGTTCTTGCTGAAGAATCATGTCTACGTGTGAGGCCTGGCCTTGCACTGTATTGTGTAAGTCGATGCTTTCAGTGGGGAGGGGCCTCTTCTTAAAGTTCTTCTGTATGCTCAAGAAAATGTTGAAAATTGAGATGGACACAGCAGAATTGCCTCTGAATGAAGTAGTTCTCATTTCAAATTGTTCAAAGGTTTCACTCACAGATGTTTTCTTAATTTTATTTTTTTTAATTAATGAACTCATTGGTGGGCTGGACTTGTCACCAGTGGGCCACTTCCTGCCCACTGGCTGCCAGTTGAATATCCCTGGCCCACAGACCACTGTGTCCTTTACAGTTGGTTGTCCACAGATTTCTTTATGCTAGATGTTTTTTAGAAAACCGTTGTCTGAAAACATAATTTCTTTATTGCAGACAATAAAAACTATGACACTACCTTTTTTTTTCCCTCCATCCAGTAAAACTTGTACATTCAGCAATGGTTTCATGTATTTAGATGAAGCTTTATGGGTCTTTTTTTTTTTTTTTGGCTCTGATATACATTTAAGCAAGCGATGGCTTATGTCTTTATTTAATAATTTCCTTTATTTGTTTGGTCATTCCAGACTTGAATTACTGTACCAACCACAAACCGTGCCAGAATGAAGCCTCCTGTACCAACACAGGTGAGGGAAGCTACACCTGCGCCTGCCAACCAGGGTTCTCCGGCAAAAACTGTGAGATTGAGACCAACGAGTGCGACAGTAACCCCTGCAAGAATGGCGGCAGCTGCAAAGTATGTAAAAAAAATGCATCTTGCCTCCTGAGATTATTGAAATGAAAGGTTTAGGGCGAGGCTGTGAAATTTTAGCCCCAAAATATTTGTTTTAAAAACACAGTTTAATGATTTATAGGTTGGCCTCCTCCTCCTTCTTCTTCTCCTCCTTCTTTTCCATCTCCTTCTTCTTTCGGCTTTTCCCTCTTCAGGGGTCTCCACAGCGAGTCATCCTCCTCCACCTCACTCTGTTCTCTGCATCCTCTGTCCTCACCAACTACCTCCATGTCCTCTATAACTGCATCCATATATCTCTTTGTCTTTTGCAGGCAGCTGCATTTCTAAAATCCTTCTACCAGTATACTCACTGTCCCTCTGGACATGTCCAAACCACTGTCCCTCCTCTGGACATGTCCAAACCACTGTCCCTTCTCTGGACATGTCCAAACCATCTCAGTCTGGTCTCTCTAACTTTATCTCCCAGTTGTTCAACCTGTGCTGTACCTCTGATGATCTCATTCCTAATCTTATCCATCCTTGTCCCTCCTAAGGAGAACCTCAACATCTTCATTTCTGCTACTTCCAGTTCTTTCTCTTGTCTTTTTGTCAGTGTCACTGTCTCTAGACCAGGGCTATTGAGCAAAACTGCTCAGGGGGCCACAGTTTCTGAAAGCCAGCAACTCAGTGGCTGGACATCCAGCGATTAAAGTCATTATGTAAATAAACCAAGCATTACAATGATCTGTTACCTTTTAAATGTGTTTATTGTATTGCATTCAATCATAAATGCAATAAACAGAACCCAAAATCCAAACCCAGAAACCCCCTCCCCCACAAAAGAAAAAAAAAATGAAGTGGGCTGGATTGTAAGTCAATGGCCCGCAGGCCGCTGTTGAATAGCCCTGCTCTAGGCCATACAACATAGCTGGTCTCACCACTGTGTTGTAAACGTTTCCTTTTATCTTTGCTGACACCTTTTATTCGCAAATCACTCCTGAAACTCAGCACTTTGGTTGGCCTTGTTGCTGTTTTAAGTGCTCTATAAATAAATTGGTATGGTATGAAACTTTTGTCTATCCACTCCATCCTGCCCGGACTCTATTCTTCACCTCTTTACCACACTCCCCATTTTCCTGGACAGTGGACCCCAAGTACTTGAAGTCCTGCACCTTTGTGACCTCTGCTCCTTGTAGCCTCTCTGTTCCACTGGTTTCCCTCTTTCACACACATGTACTCTCTTATTACGACTGACTTTCATTCCTCTTCTTTCAAGTGCATACCATCATTCTTGCTCAAGGTGAGAGTTCTGTGATGGAATTAAATTCAAAGCTGTCTGCTCCTCAGATAAATAATGTTAACTTATTTTTATTTATGAATGTTTCTGTCCCTGAGGTGACTTCTGTTGTGACTTGGCGCTATATAAATACATTGAACTGAACTGAAAATACCTCCACCTCTCCAAGTTCTCTTCCACCTGTTCTCACCACAGATAACAATGTCATTGCAAACATCATTGTCCAAGGGAGTTCCTGCCTGACATCATCTGTTTAGTCGGTCCAACACCAGAGCAAACAAGAAGGGGCTCAGAGCCTATCCTTGATGCACTCCTACATCCACCTTTAAGCTATCTGTCACTCCTACAGCACATCTCACCACTGTCCTGCTGTCCTCATACACGTCCTGTACCATGTATGTCTAACATACTTTTCTGCCACTCCAGATTTCCTCATGCAACACCACACCTCCTCCCTCGGCACCCTGTCATATACTTTTTTTTTAAATCCACAAAGACACAATGAAGTTCTTTCTGACCCTCTCTGTACTTCTCCATCAACATCCTCAAGGCAAAGATGGTGTCGTGGTGCTCTTTCTTGGCATGAAACCATACTGCTACTCACAACTACTCACCTCGTCTAAGTCTTGCTTCCACAACTCTCTCCCAGATCTTCAGTGTGTGACTCATCAACTTAATTCCCCTGTAGTTGCTACAACTCTGTACATCACCCTTGACCTTAAAAATGGGCACCAGCACACTTCTTCTCATTCCTCAGGCATTTTCTCACCCTCAAATATGCCGCTGAATGAGTCAAAAACCTCACTGCCATCTCTCCAATACATTTCCAAACCTCCACTGGTATGTCATCAGGTCCTAGTGCCTTCCCCTTCTTCATTCTTTTCAGAGCTTTCTGGCCTTCACCCTCATTAATCTTTCCCACTTCCTGGTCCACAGTTTCTATGACTTCTACTCTTCTTTCTCTTTCATTCTCTTCATTCATTAGCTCCTCAAAGTACTGCTTCCATCTTCCCGTCACACTCACCTCACTTTTTAGAACATTGCCATTCCTATCTTTAATAAGCCTAACCTGCTGCACATCCTTTCTAGCCTGATCCCTCTGTCTTGCCAATTGGTACAAGTCCTTCTCCCCCTCTTTAGTGTCCAGCCTCCCATACAACTCATCATACGCCTTCCACTTTGCCTTAACTGCCTCCCTCTTTGCTCTACGTCCCATCTCCCTATATTCCTGTCTCCGCTCCAGTCCTCTCTCTCACTGTCATATTCCTTCTTGGCTAACCTCGTTGTTTGAATAGCTTCCTGCATGTCACTTTTCCACCACCAGGATTCTTTATCATCCATTCTCTGTCCAGATGACACACCAAGTACCTTCCTACCTGTGTCTCTAATTACTGTTGTTACTGTCGTAGCCCAGTCATCTGGAAGCTCTTTCTTACCACCTAGAGCCTTTAACAGCTCCTCTGAATTTCAGAGAGGATTTCTGATTTGTAGGTTGACCTTGTGGTTCAAAAATCAGTGAGCCCTCAGGAGATGAACCAGGAGGTCAGATTCAGTGGGTTCTGTAGGTTGGGACGTCCATAGTTCATGTTTATTTAATAACCTTTCTTTAACCAAGAAATTCCCATTGAGATTACAGATCTCTTTAGCAAGGAAAGCCTGGGCCTGAATGCAACCTAACATGCAGGTCTTTGGACTGTGGGAGGAAACCGGGGTATCCGGAGAAAACCAACGAGGAGTCCACGCAAACTCCACACAGAAAGACTTCAGCCGCAACCCAGGAATCCAACCCAGGACCTTCTTGCTGTGAGGCAACAGTGTTAACCAGCCGTCGTGTTGCTCATTGTGCCTATACATGTACATTTTCTTGAAACTAAATTAAGCTGGGAAGTTTGGAGACTTTTGTCTCTTTGCAAATGTTGCTTGAGTTGTTTCAGTTTCTGATTGTTGTGGGTAATGTAATCCTGCTGGGGGAGGCCTTGATCTGCAACCAAGGGTCAACAAAGGAATAAATGACTGACAAACTGTTTCTGAAAATGCCCCCCAAAATACTTTCTTTAGGATGTATTTTAGCAAAAGGCACAATGGACCGTTTTGTATGAATGAAAAGATTGTGTCCCATAATTCTTTGCAGCTTTAGCTTTTTACCTGTTTTAATACAGAGGTTATGTGCTACTATGCCAAGTTAGAAATGAGTCTTTTCCCAATAACTGGAAATCTGGTAAGGTCGTGCTCAGATGTCCCAGCTTTTCCCCAGCCTTGAACGCAGCATTACCTTTGTGAATCTGGAGCGGCAAGTAAGTGTCAAGTCACATTTACAGACAAGCTGATCCACGTGCTCATTCACTGATTTGTCCACAGCAAATGATTTGTGCACGTATATTTGACAATTTGTGTGTGCAGAATGTTTCTACTTGTGCAAATTGAAATGTGTACATTTGGAAAAACTGTTTATGCTTTTGTAAAACTTGTGGTACGCTTGTGGATCCTATTGTATGCATAAAAATCTCATACGCACGTGTGACTACTTTTGAGGCTGATTTATCTTTATAGAGATGATTAGGAGCTTTTGTTTAAAGATGAGCAGGAACTGACTTTTTCTTACACATTTATTTCTATCCTCCTTTTGAATATAAAACATTGTAACTGTTATGAATCTTTGTGATACAATGTAATAAGAACATATGTGCCCCATGAGATTTTTGTTTAACATATTAATGCATTTTCAGTTTTAGCTCTGCAGAGCCACAGTACACGAAGTGCCCGTTTGTTCAGTTTTTAATGCAGCAGTGTCCTCTTTTCTCAAATTCTTACAGTTTTTTAAACAATTCCAATACTGTTTTTGAAAGGCCACACAAAAAAACAGGACTTGAGATTTCTCTGAAAATCACTGACATGTAACAAACAAATGTTTTGTATTCCTTGTCAGTTCATCCTCATCAGAATCATCAGAACTCTTACCTGGTCCGTGATGGTACCATCTTCTTTCCTCCCATCTTCTCTCCAGGATTTGGTGAACAGTTATTCGTGTGCATGCCCTCAAGGTTTCTATGGGAAGAACTGCGAGATCAGCGCCATGAGATGTGCAGACGGGCCATGTTTTAACGGGGGAACCTGCGTGGAGACAGACTCTGGCGGGTACAGCTGCCACTGCCCGGCTGGCTTCACCGGCTCCAACTGCGAGAAGCGACTTGACAAATGCAGCAGCAGCCCCTGCGCTAACGGTACAAATCAGCTGTAACCAGTATCCTGCAAGAAATATAATCCACCTTAAATCAAAAAGGTTAAAGGTCACAGTAAATTAATGAATTAGGTCTGACTTCCAGTCTGAATAAAGGTAGGTTCATATTCACCTCCGGCTTAATTTCAGTTTAGCATCAATCATCTTGTTAAAATTTGTTGAAGCAAATTAAGAAAAAAAATATAAAAACATTTGCTTGAGAATTTACACAAATGTCTATGAGAAAGATTTGGTGGGTCTCGATTGACAGATGAAGCAGGGTTCATAGGACCAGCTGCCCTGCATGTTTTAGATCAGTGGTCCTCAATCCTGAACCACGAGGGCCACTACCCTTCATGTTTTAGATGTTTCTCTGCTTCAACGCACTTGATTTGAATGAATGGGTAATAGTCAGCATCTGCAGAACTTGAAAAGGCAATTCAGTCTCTGGATCAGGTATGTTTGAGCAGGGACTTAAACAGACAGGATAGTGGCCCTCACGGATCAGGATTGAGGGCCACTGTTTATAGATGTGTCTTTGCTCCAGCACATTTGATTAAAAAAAGGTAATCTCTTCAGCATTTTACTAATCTCGGTAATACCTCAGTCCTGTTGAAGCAGAGAAACATCCAAACCAGGGGTGTCCAGTCCTGATCCTGGAGGGCCACTATCCTGCAGGTTTTAGGTGTTTCTCTGCTTCATTACACCTGATCTGAATCAATGGGCATTAACATTCTTGACTATGAAGAGTTATTTCAAACATTGAATCAGGGGTGTTAGAGAAGAAAAGCAAGTAAAACATGCAGGATGGTAGCCCTCCAGGACCAGACACCCCTGACAAACCAAAATGGTCTGTGGGTGTAAAGATGAATGTTAGATTTTCATATGCAGAATCACCACAAATATGTTATTTTTTTACAGCAAGAAAGACAGAATTAGTCTTCACCTCATAACCAGACCACATGCCCCGAGTAACTGAAAGTAAACATTATTGATCCGATAGCATTAACTGTGTTTGACAAGGACAGAGGAAAAGGATGGATCTAGAGCAGGGTGGGGCTCTGCTCCACATGAAGGCAGAGACATAATATTTGGTTTTTGCTAAACCTGACGTAAAAATACCGAATCTTTTGTCATTGGGATCAGTGTAGAGGCCAGATAAAAACTTCTGTTCATTGTGTTTGGGACCCTGAGCTCGTTTGTAGACAGCTTTTTGACATGTGTAGTAGACTTTGGTAAATCTTTTTGTCACTCACTGACTCCAACCGTACCATCATTCTCCACATCTTGTCAAATAAAAAAGGATGGAGACGGAGGAACTGACAAATCAGGTAAGTTTTTTTAAAGAATGTCCACCACAGAGACGATTGAGCATAAGGTAGTCCCGTCATTCAGAATGTGTTGATGGCATAAATTTTATTTTAGGAATTATTGAAAAATCTGCTCAGAAGTTAAGCAGCTGTGTACAGTCAGACAGGTAGACAGACAGGCAGGCAGTTACAATTCAGTTAATTTACAACAGAAGTCATCTGAGGGCACTGTACAGAAACATTCACATACATAAAAATCAGTTGATAACAATAATTATCCAAGGAGCCAGCAGACTGTTTATTGCCTAAGACAGATGGACAAAAGGGCAGTCAATCAGAGAGACAGACAAACATGGACACCATAAATCCTACTGATAGAGAAAGGCACAAAGACACACAGAGTGACTGACTGATGGACAGAAACAGACAGTGAGACACATGAAAACAGACAGTAAAACATACATGCAGACGGACAGAAAGACTGAAGAAATGGACAGTTATACAAAAAGGGAGAAATACAGATGGACAGACCTAAGAGGAAAAAGTCAGACATACAAAGAATCAGGCAGACAGAGATAGACAGACCAACAGAGAAATAGACAGACCAGCAGACGGATGGACAAAGAGAGGCAGACAGACGCCTTAGAGAAACAGACAGGCAGATACAAAGAGACGAACAAAAAAGAGACATACAGAAAAACAGATACTGACATTTAAAAAAATATATTATTTACTTGTCAGGGACTGTGTGCAGAAAACCATCCCACTCTGAGTAGAGAGGCACTTTGCCAGACTGTAGTTTTTAGCTAATGTCCACCTGTGGTCCATGTGGAGGGTATAAAAGAAAATAAAAGAGCCAAATAAAACAAGTAATAAAAGCAAGTAGGCTACACAAAGACCGTACAGATCCAGAGGCCTTTACGAATCAATGCTGAAAGGTTAGGGGTCTTAAATCCACATTTTTTTAACGTCTGAAGAAGGTTCTGCAATTTGTACTGGTCTTCAGGTCTGTAGGGAGCTTGTTCCAGTCTCTGTGGCCAGTCTAAAACAGAGTATTTATGTATGTCTGAATTAATGGATCAATAGATGGAAAAAATGCATGGACGGACGGCTGGATAAAATTGATGGATGGATAAAATGTATGTGCCTGTATGTCTGTGTGTATGTATGTATACGTTCATGTATGTATGTATGTACATAGGTACAGATATACAGATGAATGAAATTGATGGATAGATGGATGGATGAATGGATGGCGAACATTGATGGATGGGTGGGTGGATGGATAAAATGTTTGGGTGGATATATAGATGGATGGATGAATAGGTCAGTAGATGGATGGCTAGCTGGATGATGGATGGATGGATGTATTAGTAGGTCAATAGAATAATACAATTGATAGATGGATATATAGATAGATGCATAAAATGATGGATGGATGGATGGATGGATGGATGGATGGATGGATGGATGGAT